GTGGTGGATGGATAGGGTTTCTATCCATGAAGAAAGCATCGGCAGAGTCATAGTCTCCGATTGTAGGTGCTCCGCTTGAGGTTGTGCGTTCACATCTCCAGCAGTCTTGTGGATTAGGAGGAGGAGGAGGTGGATCTCTTCCTTCTTCTTGAGCGCGCGCCACTTCAGCGGCGTGAGCGCGAGCTGCTTCGTCGGCCATCTCTTGGGCTTTTGCTTCCTAAGTTGCTTCTCAAGCTTGTCTATCTCTGGATGTTCAACTAGGTTGTCCTTGTTGGACCTCCTAGTCATGCACCTGAAAAGAGTCTTGGAAACAAGTTAAATCAAAAGGGAAAAACAAAAACAAAAGTAAAAATCAAAGAAAAGGAAATCAAAAACTAAAAATTCAAAAGCAAAAGAAAAGCAAAACAGGAAAAGGTTCTAGACTAGATCCTAGTCGAGTTCCAAAGGTACTGCTGCAGTCCCCGGCAACGGCGCCAAAAACTTGATGTGGAGTCAGGTTTTACCAAACTCCTAGACCTCTGCAAGTGCACAGATCGCGGAAGTATGGGTATCGAACACAAGGACTGGCTATTGAGTACACTTTGAAACTATGGATTTTGGATCAAGCTAAAACAAAAGTATGATTGAGGTTGTAATGGTGAACCGAACTAGCAAGTAAACGAGGTTGTAAATCAATAAGGAAAAGCGCTAGGTCATAGGGGCTATCGCAGAGAAGCAAGCAATGATCAATGAAACAATGATAGATGAATTGATTAGGGATGTTGGGATATTAAGAACCGTCTAGAACACAGATCACGAATATAAAACCATTCCACTTTCGAGGCTCCGGCTCCTTTGTTAATCTACCTAGTCGCTAAACTTTTGGTATGTCCCTAGGTGATTAAATCAAGCTTTAGAATGAATAGGTTCTGATACAGTTCACTAGATTATAGTAGATCAACTTTCGCAGTCTAAGAAACCTAGCTTGTCAAAGAATATGTCCGGCGAATGATACAACACTGTCGAGGCTCAAATCAACCTAAGATCGGATTACTAGATGCGCGGTAAAGCAATCAGCATTAGTTAAGTGCACAAGACGAGACAAAGACTCTATATAATCCCTAGCTAATCATTGAAATCAAAGATCATGCAAGCAACTCATTGATAGTAACCCTAGCAACCTAACTAGTGGATTACTCAGACATGATCAAAGCAAACACACATAGAGATGAAGAAAACATGATTGCAATAAAACTCAAAGTAAGAAATCGTGATACAAGGGCGGCTCTCTTTTCACAAGAGGCTAAAAAGCTATATATATAGTGCTAGGTCTTCAGAGGCGGCTTAGGGTTAAGCCGGGCCGTGAAAATACGTCAAAACGGGCTTCGGGTCGACCGCGGCGTTCGGACGGTCGGTCGGGACGGTCGGCCGGACAATCGGGTCGTGGTCGTGGATCGGAACGGTCGTGGCCGGACGGATTCTCGGTCGGCCGCTGTGGTCGGACGGTGAAGGATTGGCCGATGCTTTCTCGGCCGGACGCGGGACGTGGCTTCCCGGCTCGGACGGCGCCATCGGCCGTGGTACGCGAGTTAGGTCGCGCGGCCGCAAGGCTTGCTTCCCGGCTCGCGCGGCATGGTCGTGCGCGGCATGGCTTGAGTGGTCGTGGCTTGGCCGACCGCGGGACATTGCTTCCCGGGTCGTGATGCGTACTCGGCCGGATGAGTTTGAACTTTGGCCGAGACTTCAGACGGATGGATTTGATTTTGGCCGATCGCGGAAACATTCGTTTCTCGGCCGGCCGCTCTGCACGGCTTGGCCGCGGTTTCTCGATAGAGCCACCTGGACCAGTCTTCACTCTTTTGGTTATAACTCCTTTTCTACTCATCCAAATGAGGCCGTTCCAGTTGCGTTGGAAAGTTAACTCACTCAGAGCACGCAGGGAACTGGTCTTGATGAAATCCATTGAGTAGATCTTTTTCTGGGCCCTCTTAAAGTTGATGCTTGTGCATGGAGCGGCTTGAAGCGCCAAATCTATGGTTTTGCTCCAAAATGCATCATTTCACCTGTTTAGACTCTAGACACTATAAACACAGTAAAACTACCTTTTTAGATAGAAAACCTGCCAAAAACCATTAGAAAACAATACTAAAATAGTATAAAAAGCATGTAAAATAGAGGTATATCACTAGTGATGCCAATGCATGCCCTGACTACAATAGAAGCGTGAAGACCACGAGCTCATCAGAATCAGCTCAAATCTCGGAGCTAAAGAACATGGTCTCACAACTACTTAAAAGCCGGCAAGGAGTTCACGCCATTGAAGATGCCCTAGCCACAAATGAAGACACTCTTATGGACTTCATGGGAGATGCCACTGAAGAGAACATAGAGGAGGTCAACTATATTGGAGGAAACTATGGGAATAGAGGATTCAATCAAGCATTCCGAGCTCATCCAAACCTATCATACCGAAGCAACAATGTGTAGAATCCAAGCGATCAAGTCTACCCTAATCAAGGAACGTACCAAGGAGGCCAATATCAATCCAAGCCAGTCTACCAAATATGAATGCAAAAATAGTTTTGGTTTTTTGAAAATTTTATGATTTTTTTGGTTTTTCTATGCAAAAAGGATGTATGAAAAACTAAGAACAAAGAAAACAAGGTTAAATCATCTATTGAACCCTCCCCCAGACTTAAATCACACAGTCCCTTGTGTGAGAGAAATTTAGTGAAAGATTCAAGAGGGCAAAACCAAGAGAAATAAAAACAAATGCAAGAAAATATGAGATGGTATTACAAGGGTTGTGTTTGATACCTCAGTGCCCCCCAAAGAACTGGGAGCAAGGTCGTGGTCTGGAGAGGGAGGCGGCCATCAGGAGCACTCCATTCGACCTCATTCGTGCAGCTCGGTCGAGCTTGCTCTTCCTCTTCTACCACCTCTTCATCCTCGAAGTGGGTGTGGCTTCCTTGGCCCTGGTGGAGCCTGGTTCGCTCGAAGCGGTTGTAAGGGGTCCAATGCTCTGAGGATAGTCCTGGTAAGGTGCTGGATCGTGCTCGAACCCAGGGTTCTTGAATGAAGGCTCTCCCAGGTCAACTCGACCGTCTGCTAGATCGAGTCCGCTGATAGAGTTGGAGCATTGTCCCTTGGAACTCTTCCTCCTTCTCTGTGTGTTGTCCCTCTTCCTTGGCTCAAATGAGAGGCTCTGTGAGGCTCTTGGGTAGGAAGCCTCCTTGGAATGGTGAGGAGAGATCTACTCCTAGGGAATGTAGGAGTCATGGGTGTCTTCTTCTTCTTGCTTGAAGAACCAGAGACCTTCTTCTCCAAACTCTTGATCTTGCTCACCATCTTGTCCATGGACTTTTGCATTTTGTCCATGGCTTTCCCTTGCCACTTGTTGAACCTTTGGAGAAGTCCAATCCTCTTGTGAGCAGCCACAACAGAGGGGTTCATCCTTGGAGCCTCATACTCCTCAAAATAGTAACACTCAGGCTCACCTAACTCCTCATTCACTTGGGCTCGATCCTCAGCTTGAACCTCAGCTCGATACTCAGCTCGATCGAGTTCAGGCTCCTCTTCTCGCAACTCGTCCTCATGCCCAACTAATTTATACAATGGGGGTCTGAAATCAATGTTCTCACCCATGAGGACTGTTTGTGAGCTCAGAGTTGGGGAAGAGCAGCTTGGAAGGGCCAGCCATGGATGTGTGAACTTGAATTGGTACCTCCCATCCAATTCCTTGTAATCTATGAGAAGGTTGATCTTGCAAAACTTGATGTCCATCCACCCAGCTGGTGTTGACTTCTTCTTGTTTATTTGGACCCCAGCCGCACAAAGGATTGGTGTAATGATTCCTCCAACACTTAGCTTTCTTCCTTGCTGAAATCGAGTGTTGTATGCTGTGGTCTTGTAGGTGAGTAGCTGCTCAAGGAGAGGCATGAGGTTTCCTGAGTGTGCCCTGTCTCCTCTGATTTTCTTCCCATCCCTTGTGCGTGAGATGATAGGCTTAATCCCCATGTCAAGGAGTTTCAATTCTCCTTCATTGATTGTCCTAGTGGCTTTCCTTGCAAAGAAAGTGTTGGCTAGTGCCTTGTGCACATACCTCAGCACTGGGCTCCTGATTTGAGAAGCCTTGGACCATGAAGAAGAGTACCCTGCTTCAGCGATTGTAGTCCATACTCGTTGGAGCTCATTCTCCTTGATATCCCATAGGTTTCCTTCCCCATAAGTGAAGCCAAAGAGTATCTCTAGCTGCCTGAAGGTTACCATCTTCCTCTCTCCTTTAGCTAGGAAAGTAATCCATCCCCAGCCTTGGTCCAACTCAGCTCGATCGAGCTCATCATACTGGTGATACCTCATCGATGCCAAAAACTCACAAGTGAGCTCTTTGTATGACTCCAAGCGGTGACAGAAGAATTTGGCCAAGTGCATGTTCTTGAGTACCAACTCCACATCCTCAAAGATTACAAGGGCCCTCATTGTGTCATAATGTGGGTATCTTGTTTCCACAAAGTCCATGGAGAAGAGAGCATTGTAGTGCTCTTGGAACATGGGGAGTTCTTTGATTGCGCTGCATCTTATGGGATGAGTACAAGTAATAATTCCCTAAGACAACTAGTGTTGCAAGTGCACAACATATAATTGTAGTATTTAGGGGTCGAACCACAAGGGATTGGATTTCACACATTACATAATCATAGAGTTTAAATGACTAAGCTAAATCAAAAGATGCAAGGGTTTGTGTTTGTTTAGAACACGCAAAAGAAATAACAATGCAATTCTATACAAGCAACATTATTGAACTATTGAAAACTCTTTTGAAAACATGAGCCAAGTCGATTGAAAAGTTTGTTAAAATCCGATTCTTTTGAACTCAAAACACTAAGGAAGGATTATTCCACTTTCGTGGTTCCAATCCCCTATGTCTCTTAAACCAATGGGCTCAGCTTTCGTTGGTCATTGTAGAGTGAGACATGCATTACATCCAAGTAATGATTGTTCACAAAACTCTTTAGGTCTACTTTCGTAGCCTAAAACGATTTGCCCATCAAATACTATATCCGGAGATATAACAAGCTTTTGGAGAGTATATCAACCTAAAATCAAGTCACTAGTTAGCTACTCTAGCAACAAGCATTAAGCATAAATAAAGATGGAGAACCATAGGGTTTCCCCTTTTAACAATCGATTTTCGATGGCCATTATATCACGTCCTCATTGGAAGGATCCATAATTCAACAATGAGTCTTAGATAGTAGATGAAGTCTCATGAATCCTTAGAGAGAGAGGCGGCGGAATATGACTAAACCGCCTCACCCTTAGGGAGAAATCTCTACTTCTAGACTATATAAATTGAAACATGCAAGCTATATACAAATGCAAAAGAAGAAAAGAAAGAAGAAGGAGACCACCTAAGTGGCTCCGAACTTTATTGAATAAGTGTTTCTTGTTATGCGGCTGGTGATTCTTATTACAAGAGGCTAAAAGCAAGTATATATAGGTAGAGAGCGGGTCTAGGTCGGCAAAGTTGAGCGCGCGCAGAAGAGGAAAGTTTCCATTTCTCTTTAGCCGCTTGAGCTTGCTCTCCAAGTTCTTGAATGGGCCGCGTTCAGGCCAATGGAAGCTTCTGGATTGAGTTATGCTAGTGTCAAGATGAGCCAAGGCCTTGGGCGCGGTATCTCGGGCCTCTTGATCCATCAAAGTCTCCATGGGCTCTACTTAGGCGCTCGTCGGACATGTCTTGGTAGAAAATAAGTTCCGGTCCAACGAGTGATCCAAATGACCTCTTTCCACTTCGCCGCGGGTCATGACTCAAATATCTATCTTTCCATATAAGAATCATGACTTTTGGACGTCGGGAAGGCATGAATATGCGGTCGTACTTCGGATGCTCCGGTTTGGTCTTTAGCGAGAAATGTAGATTTGGTGCTCTAGACTTGGGAACTTGGTGATTTGACTCTTTTGCTCCATTTTTGACTCTTCTTTGCTATTTTGACCTGAATGATGCTCAAAACCAGAATATACAAGAAAACTACCTCTTGGGCAAAAACCACATTATTTGTATTAAAACATAGTGAAAACCTTGTAAAAACATGAAAGATATGGTATATCAACTCCCCCAGACTTAGCCTTTTGCTTGTCCCCAAGCAAACTAAGAGAGGAAAGAGGTTTGAAAACGTGAGAACTCTCAAATCTTTTGGAAATCCGGGTTGCTTATGCTTTAGTAATCCACATGAAAAGCATTGGCAAATTTTGAATTAAGAACAAAGTACATACCATGAGTTTTGCGATTTTTCCAAAGCGGTCCACCTCTCCTTTGGACAATCCAATTCGCCACCCTTGACTCCTTTCATTTCTAAAGGTGTGGTCTCAACTAGGGAGTATCGATCAGCCGGCTTTAGACTCTTACTCATCCCCTTGTTTGGCACTTGTCTTTTTACTCCATGTTTCTCCTCTCTCTCTTCTCACTTCTTTGAGTTGATTCATCCCTTTTTTAGGGTAGCGAAGTATTTTTTTATTCAACTCCTTCTCTTTATTATAGAGGTTTTGCTTGGATCTTCCACAGACGCGAGTATTGATGGTGTTTGCCACCGAATCCCCGGTTGCTTGGATTCATAGGCCTTCCATAGACGCGAGTATTGATGGTGTTTGCCACCGAATCCCCGGTTACTTGGACCTTACGCTTTTTCTTTAAATTTGAAGGGGAGAGAGAGGGAAGCACGAACTCACTAAGACTTTTTCATTTGATGGAGAGGATGAGGAATCATGCCATTTGTATGCCAAGCCCCTAGCTGAGAAGATTAAGTTCATTAAGGGCGGAGTCAAAGATGGATCCTTCTCAAGTCTTTAGAGATGTGGGCGTTTTTGGTAGATCGATCAACTCATAGTGCACCTGTGGTAAGATGTATTGCCAAGAACTGCTCAATGGTCACTTAAACATTAGTACAACATGGTTAGATCCAAGATAAGGTCATGATTCTCGACAAAAATTTTGACTCAATAAAAACGACTCAATGAAATTCAAAAAGAATGAAACTTGTTAGTAATCCCCCCAGACTTAACTTGCACCGTCTCGGTGTAAGAAAAATCCAATTAAGAGAGGTAATGATAAATAGGAATGGAAAAGTTAGAGTTTGTAGAAAATTGTACCTAAATTTTTGGCCCTTGATGTGAAGATCGGTTGTGCATATGAGGTTGCTTCCAGGATTGATCTGACTGGTGCAAACGTCATAGCTTTGGATTTGGTTGGATGAATGTGACAATTCTCCCTTGGTTTTCTGTTTTTCGCCTTTTTGGCCGAGACTGGTCCGTTTGGTCGACCGGATGGTGATGGTATGGACTACAGCTCGAACCGTTGAAGATTTCCTCGACCTATCTTGAAATTTCGTCGACCAATATTGTATAATATGGCGACTGGTGAAGTTTGGGGTCGTTTGAACGAGTGGTTTTAGATCTTCTTTGAAAAAATTTCAAATTGGCTCCGGGAACGTCTTCCGTCGGTCTTCTCCAATTCTGCTCGTTCCAATCTGGATTTTCTTCTTTAGATGCGATGTGGAGGCTTGATGGAGGTGATTTGAGCCGGTGGCCGCGGTAAATGCCGTGATTTGGATTGTCGGCCATTTTACTTGCTCGCGATCGGCCAAATTTCACTCCATCGGCCATCTCTTGAATTGTAAGGAATTCATTGTACTGAAATGAATATTCATCGACCAACCTTATATTTTGTGGCTCCTTGTGAAGTTTGAGGCGATTTGAACGTGTGGATTCGGAGATCTTTCGTCGTGCGCGCCAATGGCTTCGGGATGTGATTCCTTTGGCCATCTCTTAATCTGTTCGATCGTCTCCTTCCTTTCTTCTTCCTCGGTGTTTTTTGGACTCCAGAGGATCAGTTTCCACCGGTGTTCGCGCCTTTTTGAGGTTTTGAGTTCTCGGCCATTCTATGCATCGCCGTTGGCCGCATTGAGCTTCCTCGTCTATCTCTCTGAGCAGGCACTTTTTCGCGTCCTATCTTTTGGATTTGCCGACCACAATGATGTTTTGAGGTCGCCTGTGAAGTTTGGTGGACTTCGGTCGTGCCGTTTGGGAGATGGTCGAGCATTGTCGCTTGGTCGTCGATTCTGGCCGAGAGAGTGATTGTGAATGTGATATCTCCTTTTTTACTCGGGCCAATTGAGTTCTGCTTCGACCGAACTGTTTTTCTATCCCTCCTGGATTGAATTGTGGTTGGATTTCCCTCGTCTATCATGTTTGGCATGTAGAGTCCTCCTTTGGCCGGTTGTGGCTCCTTTGCGCGCCATGTTTGTATGATATTGTAAACCGGTTCTTCTGTCATATTTTATCTTTGCCTTGTGCAATAGTGTTCCAATGGCCGGATTTTATTGTGCCGCGGCCCTTCTTGGACTTCTTTGCTTCTTGAAACATGGGTGGGACTTGGGTGGGACTCAAACTAGACTCAATACTTGACATTTAGACCAAAGATGGTTGATCCTTGTGCCGATTGGTGGCGATGTAGCTTTTCCAATGCATTTTCCATGTAAGCCTCCTTTTTGGTACTTTTTCCTAAAACAAGTATTATATATTATATATTTTTTTTTAACTTTGCAAAATTTATTAAACTCTTAAAAAGAATTCAAGAGCAACAAATAGAACAAGTAATAGTTTAAGATAAATTAAAATTAAAAAAAAAAGAGGAAGGGATAAGAAAATGTGGGTTGCCTCCCACAAGCGCTTGTTTTAAGTCTTTGTAGCTCGACTCCTTTGTGTTCTTAGTTAGGTAGGATTGGTGGCTCCAAGAATTTCCTGTTGCCTGATGATTCCAAGTGCATCTTGTCCTGTAGAACTTCCTTGATCAAGTAGCCATGCGACTCTCCTCTTACTTGTGAGCACTCTCCTCCACTTGTGTAGCGAAATCGCTTGGATGAGAAACCGGGAGGTGCAGCATCGTAGAAGGTGTCCTTGTCAACATTGGCTAGAGAGATTCTTCTATTAGGCCAATCCATGATCGCTCCAGCTGTGGCTAGGAATGATCTTCCAAGCAAAAGCTTTAAGTCCTCCGGATCCTTCATGGTTACTACATAGAAGTTGGCTGGAACTATGCAGCCTCCAAAATCAAGCTGAATGTCTTTAACCTCTCCAAGTGGTTCGGTCAATGATGAATCAGCTAGCTTTAAATCCATTCGAGATTTCACAATTGAATTGATCAATCCCAACTTCTTGGCTATCTCGGCCGGCATAAGGTTCACACTAGAACCGGAATCGCAAAGAGCATCATCAAAGTAGCTTCCATTGATAGAGAAATGTATAAGGAAGTAACCTGGGTCATGAAGCTTGTGTAGAAACCTAGGTTTAGGCATCCCCTTTCTTGCTTCCTCGTACATCTTTTCCATTTCAGCTAGGCTCCAATCTTGTGTCCAAGCTAGGTCTTGCATGAATGGACTCTTGTTGCAAGCATTATCAAACGTCACACCATAAGGGAATCTCCTCGCCATAAAGTTGAAATCATCTATGATCTCTTCAAGTGATGATCTTATCTTCCTCTTCTCCTTGGTGGGAGGCGGTTGTGAAGATCTTTGAGTAAGGGTTCTTCCTTTTGGTGCTATCTTTTCTCTTGTTCCAGTGGTTAGCTTCGTGGCTCTTTCTTGATCAGCTCTACTTTCTTCTTCATCCCAAATCACTCTTGGGTCGGTCTCTCTTATAGTAAAGACGGGCGCGGCATAGTTTTGCTTAGGAACGGTCGTCTTTGTCTCGGTCAAGACCTTCTCTTCCAAGTTGGCTAAGCGAGTGGTTAAATCCTTGACTTCCTTGGAGACTCCATCTACTTTGTCTTCAAGCCCTCTAGCTCTTCTTTGAATATCTTGGCTCCTCTTGTCTAGAGAGATATGTAAATCTCGGATTTGTGCCTTCACTTGTTTTTGCCCTTCCACCAATGTAAGCATTGTCGAGTAACATTGCCTCTCCTTTAGTGTCACTTCGGCTACCTCCCTCTTAGCTTGATGAGCTACTGCTGTTATTGAATTGAGACTCTTGGTGGTGCCATCGAGGTTGTTATCAAGACTTGAGATCTTCTCATCTAAGTGATTATCCATCTCCTTGGTAGAAACTTTGGTAAAGTGTATCGCTCTCCTATTGTCTTCAATGGCCTCGCCTTGCTTCTTCAAATCTTCCTCCATGTCCAAGCATCTTGACTCTACTCTCTCTATTTGGGTAGAGAGTTCTCCAAGTCTTCCATCTAGTTCGTATCGCGTGAACTCTAGCTTTGTCTCAATGTCGCGGCTAGTTCTTCTTTGGCTCTCCATGAAACCCTCAAGCACGGCATCGAAATGGCTATCTCTCCGCCTATTGAGAACATGGTCGTGGTGTGAATGCAACACTGGTCTAGGTGGTTGATGATAAACCGGAGGTCGGTTTTGATGATGATGGTAATGATGCTCGTCTCGGCTAGGTCCTTCAAACGTCGGATGAGCGCGGTTGGGAGGGAACGGATGTGGCACGATGCTTACGGCTGGGTCTTGGTAACTCCGGCCGTGGAGATCGTGTGGGATCAGTGTCCGGTTCCCAAAGTGGATGTTGGTGTTGTGATTCATCTCCAAGTACCTATAAACACAAGATTTAAAAAGAAAAAGTTAGTATTCGAAAATACCAAGATCTAGACTTAGTTTTAAACAAGACTATGCAAGTGTTTATGATGCAATCCCCGGCAACGGCGCCAAAAACTTGATGCGCTGCATCTATGGGATGAGTACAAGTAATAATTCCCTAAGACAACTAGTGTTGCAAGTGCACAACATATAATTGTAGTATTTAGGGGTCGAACCACAAGGGATTGGATTTCACACATTACATAATCATAGAGTTTAAATGACTAAGCTAAATCAAAAGATGCAAGGGTTTGTGTTTGTTTAGAACACGCAAAAGCAAATAACAATGCAATTCTATACAAGCAACATTATTGAACTATTGAAAACTCTTTTGAAAACATGAGCCAAGTCGATTGAAAAGTTTGTTAAAATCCGATTCTTTTGAACTCAAAACACTAAGGAAGGATTATTCCACTTTCGTGGTTCCAATCCCCTATGTCTCTTAAACCAATGGGCTCAGCTTTCGTTGGTCATTGTAGAGTGAGACATGCATTACATCCAAGTAATGATTGTTCACAAAACTCTTTAGGTCTACTTTCGTAGCCTAAAACGATTTGCCCATCAAATATTGTGTCCGGAGATATAACAAGCTTTTGGAGAGTATATCAACCTAAAATCAAGTCACTAGTTAGCTACTCTAGCAACAAGCATTAAGCATAAATAAAGATGGAGAACCATAGGGTTTCCCCTTTTAACAATCGATTCAAGATGGCCATTATATCACGTCCTCATTGGAAGGATCCATAATTCAACAATGAGTCTTAGATAGTAGATGAAGTCTCATGAATCCTTAGAGAGAGAGGCGGCGGAATATGGACTAAACCGCCTCACCCTTAGGGAGAAATCTCTACTTCTAGACTATATAAATTGAAACATGCAAGCTATATACAAATGCAAAAGAAGAAAAGAAAGAAGAAGGAGACCACCTAAGTGGCTCCGAACTTTATTGAATAAGTGTTTCTTGTTATGCGGCTGGTGATTCTTATTACAAGAGGCTAAAAGCAAGTATATATAGGTAGAGAGCGGGTCTAGGTCGGCAAAGTTGAGCGCGCGCAGAAGAGGAAAGTTTCCATTTCTCTTTAGCCGCTTGAGCTTGCTCTCCAAGTTCTTGAATGGGCCGCGTTCAGGCCAATGGAAGCTTCTGGATTGAGTTATGCTAGTGTCAAGATGAGCCAAGGCCTTGGGCGCGGTATCTCGGGCCTCTTGATCCATCAAAGTCTCCATGGGCTCTACTTAGGCGCTCGTCGGACATGTCTTGGTAGAAAATAAGTTCCGGTCCAACGAGTGATCCAAATGACCTCTTTCCACTTCGCCGCGGGTCATGACTCAAATATCTATCTTTCCATATAAGAAACATGACTTTTGGACGTCGGGAAGGCATGAATATGCGGTCGTACTTCGGATGCTCCGGTTTGGTCTTTAGCGAGAAATGTAGATTTGGTGCTCTAGACTTGGGAACTTGGTGATTTGACTCTTTTTGCTCCATTTTGACTCTTCTTTGCTATTTTGACCTGAATGATGCTCAAAACCAGAATATACAAGAAAACTACCTCTTGGGCATAAAAACCACATTATTTGTATTAAAAACATAGTGAAAACCTTGATAAAAACATGAAAGATATGGGTATATCATTCTTCCTCCTCCTCCTGTGGCTCAGCCTCCTCCATGAAATAATCTTGGTTACTCTCATGTTCACTTCCATCAACCTCTTGATTGACGTCTTCACCCTCTTCTTCACTTGGAGAGCCATCACTCTCGTCTTGAACAAGGTTCACCCCAATCTCAAACTCTCCTTGCTCACTCTCACTACTAATGGGGTCATTCCTTTTCTTGGTCCTCCTCTTCTCCCTCAATCTCTCGCTCTCAGACTCCTCTTCAGAGTAGACATACTCCTCTGCCTCAGACTCTTCGATCCTTTGATTCATTCTTTCCAAATCGGCTTGCATCTTTAGCCTTCTCTCCCTTGCATTGCTTGATTCACCCTTAACCATTCTCCTCTGTGAAGCACGGCTTCCCTCACTGTTTGTCATCCTTGTTATGCTGTTTTTCCACTAAATTTCCTGAAATTCATCAACGAATTCAAAGAATTAGAGTTGTAATAATCGGTTTGGTCAACTCGACACCCAGCTCGATCGAGTAAAAAAAAACTCGAGTGACAAACTCGATCGAGCTAGGTGAAAAGAGAGTATAACCGAACCTAAATCAAGTATTAAGAGATAGAAAAGATGCTAATCAATCAAATCGAACCAAGAACATCAAGTAATTGGGACAATAAGCAATTCAAGTGAAGAAAAATCGATCGAGCTGTTCACAACCCCAAGGAACAATGCAAGGTCATTTTCAGTAAAGAAGGGCTTGATGAAGATGAAGATCAAGAGAGAGTCATGGAAGAGTTCTGTTTGCTGCTGAATGACGACGACATTGTTGCTGCTGAGATTCCTGGAGTCCAGAATGATCAACCTGAAGTGCAAGCTACTCCCATAGCCATTCACACTTCACCAGTTGAACTCGCACAACAAGCTTGATCGGCAGCTAGATCGAGTCGACCCCTAGCTCGACCGAGTCAGAAAACATAAGTCCTCAAACCGACTTTGCTTGATCCTTACCAACCAGGTTACACATCCTCATCTTGCCTACTCAGTCAAGGCCATAAGGAAGTGATTCACAAGTTCAGAAGAGACCTTACTGAGATTGGAATTGAGTTGCCTTTTATGGAAAGCATGAGCGAGGCATTTGAGCAAATGAAGATGATTAAAGATGTTATGGCTAACAGTGATAAGGTCTCAGAGCTTCTGGAGGTGTCTACTCAACAAATCAACCTGCCTTACCTCACCTACTTTCTTACCAAAGGTGAAGGATCAAGGGAAGTTCACTCTCCCTTGCACACTTGGCCATATTGAGCTTGACAATGCCTTGGTGGATTCTGGTGCAAGCATCAACCTGATCTCCCTCACAATGGCAGAAAAGCTAGGCATTGCTGGAGCATTGCAGCGCACTACTACCTCAATCATGTTTGGAGATGCAACTTCCAAGTCTCCTCTTGGCGTGTTCAAGAACTATCACTTGAAAATAGGAGAATGCATCATCCAAACTGACATCACTGTCATGGAGATGGAAGAAGAGAAGGATCTACCTCTGCTATTGGGAACCCCATTCCTTAGCACAGTTGGCGCTTCAATAGACTTTCACAAACAAGAAGTGATTCTTCACAAGGTGAATAGTTTGGTGTCTTGTCGCTTGCAGCCTAGAGGATCAGACTTTTGTGCCACTATTGAAAGCACTCCTCTCAGTTCCAAGCCTCCTGAAGCTGCCAAGGTTGTGAAAGAAAAGGTTGACAAGGAGCCAAAAGTTGTGAGAGATAAGGTTGAGAAAGATAAGGTGGACAAGGATCAAAGAGTTGATAAGGGACCAAGGATTGAGAAACCACGCCTTGAGAGGCCACGAGTTGAGAGACCACGATCTGATAAGCCACGAGCTGATAGACTTGTTCAAGCACCATGTGTCCTTAATGAGGAAAGCCTGCAAGCTTTGTTTGATGAGCCACTAGGAAGCGCTCAAAAAGAAGGGGAGGATGCAGCCTCAAAGGAACTTGTGGGAGAGAAAAGAAAGGACCCACCAGCTCAGGTTTCCTCAACCAAGCCATCTCAGCTCACAATGACCTAGTTTCCCACCAAGTTTGAAAATGGAAAGATTGAGTACAAGATAAGGTACAAAGGGAGATCAAGACCATTCTCTAGAGCCAAGGCCTTGATCACTTCAGAGTATGAAGCTCCAAGGATGAACCCTTCGGTTGTCACTGCTCACAAGAAGATTTGACTTCTCCAAAAGTTCAACAAGTGGCAAAGGAAGGCAATGAAGAAGATGCAAAAGTCCATGGACAAGATGGTGAGCAAGATCAAGAGCCTAGAGAAGAAGGTGGCTGGTTCCTCATCTAAGAAGAACAAGGCATCCATGACCTCTCCTTTCCCTAGGAGTCGATCCCTCCTCACTACACCAAGGAGACTCCCAGCCCAAGACCCTCCCAGAGCCTCATCGTTTGAACCAAGAGAAGCATGAGATAGCACACAAAAGAGAAGGAAGAGTTCAAGAGTTAGACGCTCTGACTCGACCAGCGGACTCGATCGAGTCCAAACAGAGGAAACTCAATTCGGTCGAGCTGATGGTCGAGTTGACATGGAGAAACCTGAATTCGAGAACCCTGGGTTTGAATACGACCCAGCGCCTTACCAGGACTATCCTCACGATTTTTCAATAAATGTTTTAGTTAATTCTTTTTTTGTATTTTAATATTCTTTGTATTATATTTGGTATTAATGTATTATATTAGTTTTTCCTATTTTTGTGTTTTCATGTTTCTATTGTAAATTTTGTAAGTTTATATTTTTATAAAAGTATTTTTTGTAAGTTATTACCATTATTTGGTTTCAACAATATTTATATTCACATTGACAGTATAATATATGTTTGAACTATATTAAATATTCACATTGACAATAAAATATATGTCTTGATTTAAGCACCATAGATATATATATTATCCAGTTTGTTTGCCTCATTCTGTTATACCAACTCACAAAGTCGTTTTGTTTTATTTTTATGTGTCACAAAATCTTTTATAGATTCATCTGTGACTTTTTATAAATCTTTTTTTTCGATCATCAGAAGATAATTACGATATCTAACATATATAGCGACAACATTTTTCGTCATGTTCTCATAACGGCCAAGTTCTTCTTTCCAGATGGTCTCAAACAAAGAATAAACTTTGAACTTAATTTCATTAGTGTGTCGGGTGTTGTTTCTTTTTCCTTGCTTAAGGGTGTTCTCCATTGTTTCCTTATATATCATTCTATGTTTTCGATGCCCGAACACACCTGCTTTTATTTCTTTAATTCGTTGCGACTTAAAATTTAAATGGCCGACCGACATATTCATTTCTATGCAAATTTAATTTATACAGCAAAATTGGTCAAAAGTAACTGTATCGACACGTAAGAAAACATTATATTCTGAAAAAAATGTTTTTAATAATTCTCGAAAGGCTGTGTTAGATAAATAATGGAGGTACAATTATATAACCTATGAATGACCTAAATCATTTTTTTTTTGTTAAAAGGCCTTCATTAATACTTAAAAACATAGCTTACAAGCAAGATTACCAGAAGATGAAATAGAGAAGAAGAATAGAAAGAGAGGAAGGAAGAAAAGAGGAGGGATGACCTAAATCATTAACAAAATAGTAGGAGGTTTACACTTGCCGGAAAAAGAAAAGAAGAGTACATTACTTTTTTACCACTACAATTTTCCTCTTTCCTCGTCTGGGAAAATAAGCGCATTGTTAACTTTGTGATCAAACTGTCAAAGCAGCACAGAGATGCACGTGTGCCTCTCTACCTTCTTTCTAATTACCATATTTAAACTCGAAACAATTGTTTGCAACACGTAGAATTTTTATAATTTATAAAATCACGACATGTGTCATTATTAATTATGAAAGTATATTAAGATCGTGACATGTGTAATGTAATTAAAAGATAAATAATATACCTATATAATACCAACGGAAAAAAATAAACAATTAAAAATAAAAATATTACATCTATTAGGAAAAGCAAAGAAAAAACATAACCCTATTATGAAAAGGAAAAAACAAAAATCAGAAAAATATGAAAAAAATAATTAAAAAAATGTCACATTCACTAAGAAAAGGAATAAAAAACATATTCCCATTACGAAAAGGAAAAATAAAACAATATAAAACAAGCTGTATTTTGTTTAAATTTTTCTCTCATTAAGAAATAAAAAATGATGTCTTTAAAAGTTCAAGATATCATTGAAGAATAATTAACATATATTTAGATATATGGATTGAAATCAAAATGACTATTACTACATGTGTCTAACATTTAATTAGATGATGATATAGGTTAACACAAGAAAATTAGAAAAATATAATAACATAAATAAAAAAAACTAATAAAATAATTGTAAAACAACTAAGTAATAATGAAAATGAAAATTTAATGTCACCAAATCTTCCCTCTTTGCTGCGGGTTCGGATGCTCCTGATTTAATAGAAGCAGCGGCCACAGTGGGGATCTCAGTTGGAGTATTGCTAGTTAGGTATCTTGGGCTTCCGCTCACTACCCGCTCAATGACCAAGCTGGACTACGAACCATTGATTGACAAGGTCCGAACACGTCTGCTCCACTGGTCACACAAACCCCTCTCATGTGCAGGCCGCCTGCAGTTGATCAAGTCAGTGATCGCTAGTATCACTAACTTTTGGTGCTCAGCTTTTATTCTGCCTCAAGGTTGTTTGGATACTATTGAGAGCATGTGTAATGCCTTTCTCTGGTCAGGCTCACCAAATGACACTCATAAATCAAAGGTGTCCTGGGATGATATTTGTTATCCAAAGGAGGAAGGAGGGCTGGGGATTAGACGGCTCCGAGAAACGTCTCTGGTTTTTGCTCTCAGTCTTATTTGGAGGTTATTCTCGTCGACAGGTTCACTGTGGGTGGCCTGGGTAAAGTCTTATCTCTTGCATGGTGAATCTTTTTGGGATGCCAGGGATGGCTCAAAAGGATCTTGGATGGGGAAAAAGATGTTAAAGCTCCGAGACAAGGCTTACCCTTTCATCAAATATCAAATTGGTGATGGAAAAGAGGCTTTTTTTTTGTTTGATAATTGGCTGGAACAGGGCAAATTGTTGGAACTGGTTGGTGCATCAGGCACACATATGTTGGGCATACCCCGCCAGGCGAAGGTGGCAATTGCAGTTAGAGGCTCAGCCTGGCAATTAAGAAGGCAGAGAGGTGCTGTTCAGCGACAACTTGTGGCTCTTATCCAAGCTGCTCCGGTACCCAACAGAGAGGTTGGGAGAGATGTGGTGTTATGGCGTTATAAAGAGGGTGAGTATAAGGATGTGTTCTCCGCTGCTGCAACTTGGGACCAAATACGTCGAAACCAAACCAAGGTCACATGGTTCAGGACGATCTGGTTCGCCCAGGGCGTACCCCGTTATTCTTTCATAGCCTGGCTCTCTATTTTGAATAGGCTGGCGGCGGGTGATAGGATGAGGAACTGGGGGCATGAACAATCTTGTCTGTTTTGTGGAGAGAGGGATGAAACACGAGACCATCTGTTTTTTGCTTGTCCTTACACTTACACGCTTTGGTCTAGTTTGGGGGGCTCGCTAATGCCTAGTGCCTCTACACCGGATTGGGTGGACACTTTGTCCTTCATCATCTCCCAGGGGAGTCGCACCATGGACTCGGTTCTTCTCCGTCTCCTATTCCAAACGTCCATCTACCATGTTTGGCGAGAACGAAACGCACGAGAACGAAACGCACGACGCCATCGAACCAGCTGGATACCATTGGAGCACTTAGCTCGCTATGTGGACAAGGCAATGAGGAATCAAATTTCATCCCTCAACTATCGAGCTCCGCACAAATTCGAGGGTCTGATGCGTCACTGGTTTGAAGTGTGTTGTCTCCCCTAAATCACATCTAGTTGATGTTTTGAGAAGCACCGGTTTCACTCTTCTGTTATTTGATATTCTTTATTCTTTTAGGCGAAACACTTTATAAAGCCTTACATTGTAAAGTTTAGTTCCAGAGTTGCTCAATCAATTTGAAATTTCTTAAAAAAGAAAAATAAACAGGAAAAAAAAAATAGAATAAAAGCTGAGAGTGTGTCACGTGGCCATCTCTCCGTGCTGATGTGGCGGTCAGCTGGAGAGAGATGGCCTCTTATTATATATAAGATATATATATATTATCTTATTATATAAAGTTGGATGCGCACGACGTGGTTGCGACACGTAGGATTTTTACAAGTTATAAAATCACGACATGTGTCATTATTAATTATGAAAGTCTATTAAGATCGTGACATGTGTCATGTAATTAAAAAATAAATAATATACCTATATAATACCAACGAAAAAAACAAACAATTAAAAATAAAAATATTACATCTATTAGGAAAAGCAAAGAAAAAACATAATCCTATTATGAAAAGGAAAAAACAAAAATCAGAAAAATATGAAAAAAATAATTAAAAAAATGTCACATTCACTAAGAAAAGGAATAAAAAACATATTCCCATTACGAAAAGGAAAAATAAAACAATATAAAACAAGCTGTATTTTGTTCAAATTTTTCTCTCATTAAGAAAAAAAAAATGATGTCTTTAAAAGTTCAAGATATCACTGAAGAATAATTAACATATATTTAGATATATGGATTGAAATCAAAATGACTATTGCTACATGTGTCTAACATTTAATTAGATGATGATATAGGTTAACACAAGAAAATTAGAAAAATATAATAACATAAATAAAAAAAACTAATAAAATAATTGTAAAACAACTAAGTAATAATGAAAATGAAAATTTAATGTCACCAAATCTTCCCTCTTTGCTGCGGGTTCGGATGCTCCTGATTTAATAGAAGCAGCGGCCACAGTGGGGATCTCAGTTGGAGTATTGCTAGTTAGGTATCTTGGGCTTCCGCTCACTACCCACTCAGTTGGACTACGAACCATTGATTGACAAGGTCCGAACACGTCTGCTCCACTGGTCACACAAACCCCTCTCATGTGCAGGCCGCCTGCAGTTGATCAAGTCAGTGATCGCTAGTATCACTAACTTTTGGTGCTCAGCTTTTATTCTGCCTCAAGGTTGTTTGGATACTATTGAGAGCATGTGTAATGCCTTTCTCTGGTCAGGCTCACCAAATGACACTCATAAATCAAAGGTGTCCTGGGATGATATTTGTTATCCAAAGGAGGAAGGAGGGCTGGGGATTAGACGGCTCCGAGAAACGTCTCTGGTTTTTGCTCTCAGTCTTATTTGGAGGTTATTCTCGTCGACAGGTTCACTGTGGGTGGCCTGGGTAAAGTCTTATCTCTTGCATGGTGAATCTTTTTGGGATGCTAGGGATGGCTCAAAAGGATCTTGGATGGGGAAAAAGATGTTAAAGCTCCGAGACAAGGCTTACCCTTTCATCAAATATCAAATTGGTGATGGAAAAGAGGCTTTTTTCTGGTTTGATAATTGGCTGGAACAGGGCAAATTGTTGGAACTGGTTGGTGCATCAGGCACACATATGTTGGGCATACCCCGCCAGGCGAAGGTGGCAATTGCAGTTAGAGGCTCAGCCTGACAATTAAGAAGGCAGAGAGGTGCTGTTCAGCGACAACTTGTGGCCCTTATCCAAGCTGCTCCGGTACCCAACAGAGAGGTTGGGAGAGATGTGGTGTTATGGCGTTATAAAGAGGGTGAGTATAAGGATGTGTTCTCCGCTGCTGCAACTTGGGACCAAATACGTCGAAACCAAACCAAGGTCACATGGTTCAGGACGATCTGGTTCGCCCAGGGCGTACCCCGTTATTCTTTCATAGCCTGGCTCTCTATTTTGAATAGGCTGGCGGCGGGTGATAGGATGAGGAACTGGGGGCATGAACAATCTTGTCTGTTTTGTGGAGAGAGGGATGAAACACGAGACCATCTGTTTTTTGCTTGTCCTTACTCTTACACGCTTTGGTCTAGTTTGGGGGGCTTGCTAATGACTAGTGCCTCTACACCGGATTGGGTGGACACTTTGTCCTTCATTATCTCCCAGGGGAGTCGCACCATGGACTCGGTTCTTCTCCGTCTCCTATTCCAAACGTCCATCTACCATGTTTGGCGAGAACGAAACGCACGAGAACGAAACGCACGACGCCATCGAACCAGCTGGATACCATTGGAGCACTTAGCTCGCTATGTGGACAAGGCAATGAGGAATCAAATTTCATCCCTCAACTATCGAGCTCCGCAAAAATTCGAGGGTCTGATGCGTCACTGGTTTGAAGTGTGTTGTCTCCCCTAAATCACATCTAGTTGATTTTGAGAAGCACCGGTTTCACTCTTCTGTTATTTGATATTCTTTATTCTTTTAGGCGAAACACTTTATAAAGCCTTACATTGTAAAGTTTAGTTCTAGAGTTGCTCAATCAATTTGAAATTTCTTAAAAAAGAAAAATAAGCAGGAAAAAAAAAATTAGAATAAAAGCTAAGAGTGTGTCACGTGGCCATCTCTCTGCGCTGATGTGGCGGTCAGCTGGAGAGAGATGGCCTCTTATTATATATAAGATATATATATTATCTTATTATATAAAGTTGGATGCGCACGACGTGGTTGCGACACGTAGGATTTTTATAATTTATAAAATCACGACATGTGTCATTATTAATTATGAAAGTCTATTAAGATCGTGACATGTGTCATGTAATTAAAAAATAAATAATATACCTATATAATACCAACGAAAAAAACAAACAATTAAAAATAAAAATATTACATCTATTAGGAAAAGCAAAGAAAAAACATAATCCTATTATGAAAAGGAAAAAACGAAAATCAGAAAAACATGAAAAAAATAATTAAAAAAATGTCACATTCACTAAGAAAAGGAATAAAAACCATATTCCCATTAAGAAAAGGAAAAATAAAACAATATAAAACAAGCTGTATTTTGTTTAAATTTTTCTCTCATTAAGAAATAAAAAATGATGTCTTTAAAAGTTCAAGATATCATTGAAGAATAATAACATATATTTAGATATATGGATTGAAATCAAAATGACTATTGCTACATGTGTCTAACATTTAATTAGATGATGATATAGGTTAACACAAGAAAATTAGAAAAATGTAGTAACATAAATAAAAAAAGCTAATAAAATAATTGTAAAACAACTAAGTAATAATGAAAATGAAAATTTATAATGGTCAGAGGCAAAAAAAATTGAAAAAAACAATACAAATAGAAAACTAACAAAATAATTATCAAGGAACTAAATAATCTTAAAAAGAAATTTTTATAATGGACCGATCTTCAAATATTAATAGTTTAATTTATTTTTATTTGAAAATAAAGATTTCATCAATTGAAATCTCTTAAATGGAATAATAAAAGTTTCATGAATTAATGAGTCGATTAGATTTAGACATGTCTAAGACTTTCTAATTTAGATAAAAATAAAGGGATAACAAATTAATTTATTTTTTTATATCAAGAATTCAAAATAAAAATGTAAAAGGATTATGTATTTTATTTTATTAAGAGAAATGTTATCGGTTTTTAATGTTATTTCACTTATTTTTTAAAATGATCAAATTTTGTTTAATATTTTTCTGTAATTTATTTCAAAAATCTTAAAATAAACCGCGTATACGCGGGGCCTAATCTATTATTATATAAAGCTGGATGCGTGCAACGTGGTTACGACACGTAGAATTTTTATAATTTATAGGATCGCGACATGTGTCACTTTTAATGTTACGTCCGTTAAGATCGTGACACGTATTTTGGAAAAAAAATATATATAATAATATTTAAAAAATGTTAGAAAAGGAAAAAATATATATATTTGACATATCCTAATAGAATAAGGTTTACCATTCATCAAAGTTATATTATCTTTAACACATATTTAATTCAAAATAATGTAATAAATAAAATCCTATAAGTACATGGAATAGGTTATGTAAACTAAATTTCATAACTGCATGGAATAGGTTACGTGAACTCCTATAAAAATAGAGTTAAGGTAATCTCTTTTTTCTTATTCACAAACTCATCAAAGAAAATTCATCAAATCTCTTTGATTATCTTTATCTAATTTAAAAATCATGTCTCTAAAAGTTCAAGAAAAGAGTGGAGATTATTTGACTCTAAGTCAATTGGATTGAAATTGAAATTATCGCCGTACTATACGTGTTATTCCAAAGTGGGAAGTTAAAAATTATAAGGAAAATAATATTCTTATGGGAGTTGAGCTACTATAGGTTGTTTGCTTGTGTCTTCAGGGAGGTCTCTATGTTACTGTAGATTGGCCATGATTGGGGTTTGGTTCTTTGGAAGGGTCTCTAAAAGCTGTGAAGCTCCTCTTGGTTGGTGTTTTAGTTCAAGTTGGTGTTTGTTTTTCATCTATGTTCAAACTTAGACTGCTTGATTAGTTTCTTTTTCAGTTGCTTTGTGTGTTTGCTTTTGCCTTGTATTTTGGCCTTCAGTTCCCCTTTGTGGGCTTTATTTCTCGGGAATTTTCGTTTTCCACCAGCCTAGTATCTCAAATGTGTATCCCAAAAATTATTCCACTTTGGTTTTTATATAATTCTTGAAAAAAAAAAGCTACTATTACTCGATGAAAAGAAATAAAATATATTAACATTAAATTTTTACTTTTGTTTGAAACAAGAAAGCATAATTCAAATTTTTGTGATATTTATAACTCATCAGATCCTGAAATGTGTTATTATTAATTCTAAAAGTATTAAAATCGTGATATGTGTTACTAAAGAATTTAATAAAATTTGCTATAATAAAATAAAAAATAGATAAAAGACAAATAAAAGTTTAATCCTTATGGAAAAAGAAAAATAATTAAAGAAAATAAAAATAAAGAATCATAAACATCATAAAGAAAAAAGAAAACAAATAATTAAAAAAAAAAATCTTATGGAAAAAGGAGAAAAATTGTGATGTTTGCTTAAAAAAAAATCTTGTTGTTAAGATGAATCGAGATACAATTTATTTCTCTAACATATTCTTCAAAAAAGTTATTTGAATCATGACTTCAATTATTAAATTTAGGAAAATGTACATATAAAAGTAAATCAATTTCTAATGGTGCAGTTTTCTAATTTTATTTACTTTTTAAAATAATGAGATACTTTTTTAATAAATAATAAATTATAAATTCACATGAGACTTTATCTAATTTAATATAGGGTGAATTAGCTTAATAATCATATTGGGAGACTTAATTAAGGATATTATTAAAATTGCATTTGTACTAAAAAAAAGAATATGAAGTTACAGCAATAGCCTTCAGTTTTTAGGTGGGAAAGAATCCTCCAACCGGCTATGACGTCATAAGATTTGATGTGTACACTAAAGAACTGGAAATATTGGACCACACATGTTCTCCTACAAAACCAACTACTACGTGTCACTAATCTCTTTGTCACAGCATTTTACCGAAGCTCTCGAACTGTCAATCTTTAGCTTAATGCTTTAATCATTAGAAGTTTTGATTATGCCTTATTTGCTGAACTTAGACATTCCATTCCACATATAAGCCATGTAAGATGGAATTGAAATATTTAGTGTTAATAGACTCTAAACCTTAACCCATACTGTAAACTCTAAACCCTAAACCCTCAATACAAAACCCTAAATCCTTACCACAAAACTCTAAACCTTAAACCTTAATCCTAAACTCTAAACATGATAAACCCTAAACACCCATGACCTAGATCCTCAACATTAAACTTTAAACCCTAAACAAAATAGATCCTAATCCCTAAACCATTCACCCTTACACCCTAAACCACAAAACATTGTCGACAATAAGAAACCACATTCACGGAGCTCAGGGGTGACATTCCATTTTTCTTGATTATAGTATAAATACAGTCCATACCACCTTATTTTCTCGGTTATGGTATGGAGTGAATGGACTGGAGTCGTGGTTTTTAATAATGTGGTGTATCGTGTCCAGTTTCTCGTACATTAAAACAGTATGACATGGAATCGAAAATTAAATCAGTTGTTCAACATTAAAACAGGTGTTCCACAATAAAACACTGAACATTGAAACATAATCGACATTATAATGACAGTTTGACAAATAGTAAACAACCCGGTAACTGAAATAAAATTTGCAGCTGCCTTAGACTCCTTTTCAAGTGAGTCGTTGATTCCAAGGAATCGTACACGGCTACAGCGTAGTTCCGACTTGTAGTACGCAAGGTGTCATTGTCACCGTCTATGTCGCCATATGCTTGATGCTGCAAAATTTTAACATATTGGGTAAGTTTATAACTGTAGTTATGCAACTCAATAAAACACTCATCCAATACTATACTATCCACAAACCAAACCAAGTATTCAGTCTATACCATTACTTCATGTACTATACCATTGGTATTATGTAACTGCACTTTTCACATAGATTTAGATCTCAAACCCGCTACACCTTCATTTTATACACCACTACTTGAACAAGCAATTAACCATTTTTATACACTTGCAATTTGTCATGGATTCACAATCTAACCTCTCATTCGTTCTTTACCATGTAAACCCCAATCCGAAGCTTAATTTCCAAACAGAATTTCAATTTAGAAACTTGATTGTAACCACATACCTTTCTCTCCTCAGATCTTCATCCTCGGAATCACCCTCCTTCGCCCTAAACAGCTTCAGTGAGGAATAATTTCAATCTCGCCATCGTTAATCTTCTCCATAAATCTCGACCATTCCTTATTAGACCGTAAATCCTATGTGTTAAGTTTCTAATGAGAGAAAAATAAACCCTAAAGAAAGAAGAGATTGTTTTCAGTTTCGAATTTTGATTTTGACTTTCTCACTTCTTTAACTGTCTACCTAGAGAGCGGTTCTCACACACAGAGCAAACCTCTTCTTTCTCTTTCTAAACTCAGGGTTAATTTAGTCAATATTCCAGAAAATATATCGTGTATTCTAACCAAACTAATATAATAACTATCCTCTCAATTATGTGTTTCAATATGATTATCTAATGTAATTTTCCTATAATATAAAATAAGAATTTACAACTTGATAAATACTCTTGCCGATTGCCGACAACCGACAACAATAATATAAAAAAGGAGATGTGAGGGTGCCAATGAAGTGGCCGACCAAGGCACCAAGCCCTACCATGTATTTAAAATATTACCCGACGAATTGTACACACGTATTCATATCTTGAAAAAAATCAATCAAGATCAGACTGGATTAGGATTGATATTTGATATTTCTAATATACTGATTTTATATATTGTTTTCAAATATGACCTTTTCAAACCAATTCAGATCGGATTGATTTTTGGTATTTTGTATATAATTTAGCATCTATATTCTTTATTATTTATATTTGACTAATAAGTATTCCATAGTAATTTAAATACATTCTACATCTTCATGAACAAAAATATTTTCTTATAAAATTTGTATAATTTTGACGTGATAGGTTGACAAGAATGACAATTTTTTTTTTAATTTTGAACAACAACAAAAATGACATATAAGATGACATTTTTACTATATAAATTGACAGATGAAATGGTTTGCAATAATGATTTGTTTTCGTAATTTTGTTCATGAAAATTTAACTTTGCATAATTGCATTATGACTCATGTTTGTAAACAGAGATCGTCGAGTCATCATTATTCTGTCTTTCATTTACTTATTGGTTTTAAGTTTGAAATTAAATTTTGGGTGGATACAAGTTTTTTATTAGAGAATCAGGAGAGAAGCTGACTTTTGGATGTTTCAGGACAAAAATCTCCCTGTATTTTAGAGAGAGACAGAGTAAAGAGAGAAAGAAAAGTGAAAAGTTTCGTGTGTGGGAAAAGAGAAAAAGTGAGAGTTGTGAGTGAGAAAAAAAACAAAAAATCGTATCCGAAAAAAAAAATAAAAAAAAAAGAAAAATTAGTTTCTCTCTCTTACTTGTCTTTAATATGTTTTTCCTTTCAATTTTGAGAGTCAAATATATCATTTAAATCACAATTATATAATAAGATATGTATTAGAAAAATATATAGATTTTTTTCTATACATTTTGAACTTTAAATTTTTCAAATTGGATAATATTAAAATAATTTATATAAATTTTTCATAAGAATAGTCAAAACACAGTGTACGCGCTAATATATGGTGTACACAAAAATAGTATACGAACTCGTATATAATGTATGGTCAATCTATGATGTACACCAATATATTCGTCTATCACAGTACGAACGACATAAATACAATATAAACACATACCAAATTCTAATAATATTATAGTATACATGCCAATATAGGGTATACACAAAAATAGTGTGCATGTCAATAACGGTGTGCGTACCAATATATGGTGTACGAATCGTTAGGATACAGTGTGTACACAAAAATCTAATAATATATACAATAGATATGCCAATATATGGTATATACAAAAGTGTACACGCCAATAATAGTGTACGTACAAATATATGGTGTACGAACAACCAGAATACAGTACACAAAACTCTAATAATATTCATAATATACGCGCTAACATATGGTGTACATATTAGTAACAGTGTATGTATTAATATATGGTGTAAGAACCACCAAAATACAATATACATACACCAAAATCTAATAATATTTATAGTATACGCGCCAACATGTACACAAAATTTACGTTTCCATAAACATTACCCATTTCAGCAATGAAGAAATCTCTGTACACAGACAATCAAAATCTGTAATTTCCACATCCTAATCAGCTAATTTATCCACTACAATGCGTCTTATCTAATGAGAAATTGGAAGATCTCTGTAAATTGAAATCGGAATTTTGGCATTAATGTAGCAACAGAATCGAAAATTCTAAGAAGTCCTCAACCAAAATCAAAATTCGGATGTTGAATAATGAGACGAATTACCTTAACGCCATGTCTATGAGCAGTATTGGTCCAGCAAGGAGGAGGAAGAGTGACGAGAGAATGAGAGAAGTAGACAAAAACGTCCATCAAGTACCAATGCCAAATCGCATATCCGGCCTCGTTTTCACACCCTTGTATCCACTTGTCATCTACATACCCTCCTTTCATGTCGTGGCAGACTAAGACCCTTGGGCGATTCGGTAAGCCGTCGGAGTTTCGCCGGAGAGGGACGGTGGAGCGATTGAACTGGAAGTGAAAGGAGTCGAAGTAAGAACGAGATTTCAGGTCTTGCAGAGTTTTGATCGGGAAGGATATCGGTGACGAAGGCTTAGATAGATCGAGCAGCGGAACGGCCTCGGATTCTGCGGCGGCGCCGTCGTTGGATTTGGGCATGATGAGAGAGAGAGGGAATGAAGTGAGGAGCTTATGGGAGATGGTTAAGAAGAGATTGTAAAGAGATACGAGAGTTCTACGAGAGAAATAGGCGCGAAGAACGTCTCGCATTTTGAGAGGTCAACGGAGGAAGACGACGATGTGCTTCGTTTTTCTCTTTTTTTTTTTTTTTTTTTCCTCAAATGGCTTCGTTTTTTAATTATTTCTCCTTTTCGTTATACTTTTCTTTTTTGAACTCGTCTTCTTTTTCTTGTTCGTACGCCAAATAAAAAAAACATAACATATGAAATTATCGTTCTTTTCACACGAAAATTACATGAACTTTTTATAAAGTAGCTTGCACGAAAGCAGAGTTAAACACTTAGAATGTTTATATGGGCCTATGCTATCCTTAGGGATGTTAATGAAGGGTTTTAACCCATAGGGTACCCTTAACCCTTAATTTTTATGAAGCCCATTACCCTCCTTTGTTAATACAGAACATGAAGGGTTGATTATGGGTTGGTACCCTTAATGAAAAGGTTCTAAAAGGGTTATCCTAATGGATTTAGAGTACCCTATGGGTATTTTTTTATATGCCTAAAACAACAAATTCTATTATATTTTTATTTAGCTTAATCTTTAACCTCTTTAAAATAAAGGGTTTTCGGTCCCAGCCCCCCTCTACTAGTCACAATAAATCGGAATCCACCCAAACTTTCCGCCTCTGTCTATTCCCCTCCAACAACTTATTTTCCTGTCGATTCCCCCATATCAAATAAAATTCTCTAATCTGCGTTTTAACCTACAAAAACACGTTTCTGAGACAGTGATTGCCCGATAAAAAACCCGCTTTATCTCACGCTTAAACCCGATCTATCATTACCAAACCCGACAATTAACTTTCACTTCACACAAAACTTCAAAATCGATTTCAAAATCGAAATCGATTTGGGGAAAGCGAATTAGGATTCTTATAAAAGAGTAGAAAACTGAAATCGACCAACCATTGGAGGATTAGAACTCGTCGATTTCGTATGTTCCTCGTCGTTCTTATTTGTTCGTCGAGCGAAGCTTCGTCGAACAAAGCTTCAGCGATGAGGTATGTGTACTCTTTCCTATCAACGGATTTAGATATTAGGTTTTGTTCTTTTAGACAACGATGCATTCTCTGTGATTTAGGGAAGTCAAATGCTCAATTTTCTCTTCTGTTTCTGTTGCTTTTGCAGTAACTTTGACAGTTTCAAAGTGAACCTGTATCATGGAGGTGTTATGCAGAGAGACGATGGTATTGTCAGATACACTGGAAGAGGTTTGAAGAAAGGCATAGTTGTAGATCCTGATTACATGACTTGGAGCTGTTTTGATGGCTTTTGTGAAGTGCATGAAATACCTGGCGGTATAGTAGAACGAGTATGGTACAAGCTCCCACACGAAGACATGGATACTGTGAGAAGTTTTGGGTTTCACGGTTCTGATTCAGAGCTTATGATAATGTGTGCTCAAGCTATGTCAGAATCTGAGGTTGATGTGTTCATTCAGCAAGGTGATATTGTGCTTCTGCGTACCGAGAAAGAAAACAGAGAAAATGCTGAGAAGCAAAATGAGGAAAACGTTGAGATGCCGACTGAAATGGAGGATGATATAAGTGAGAAGAATGCTGAGAGAGAAAGTGAAGAAAATGGTGAAAAGCAGACTGATATGGAGGAGGATGTAAGTGATGAAGATGCTGAGAGTGAGAAGAATGGTGCAGAGCATGATGAAACGGAGGGAGGGGAAGACAAAGAGTATGAGGAAGCTATCAAAGCGAGAAAAGAGAGAGAGCTTGAGGAAGCTATGCTGTTGAAAAAGAGAAAGAAAGGTAAAGCTAAGATTTTAGAAGATGAAGAGGATATTGGTGAAAGATATGAGGTGGAGATTGAAGATGCTGTAAATAACTTTGTGGATGAGGAAATAGTCTTTGGAAGGATAATTCCTGAGAGTTTGGAAGGAAAAAACGCATGAAGAACAGAAAAGATAAATTAGCTCTCGGAACTACTTTTTTTACGGGGTTTGAGTTTAAGGAAGCTGTTTTAGAGTATGCTCTGAAGAAAGGGAAGAACATAGAGCAAAACAGATGGGATAAGACAAAGATTGGGTACAAATGTGGGGAAGATGCAAAGTGCAAGTGGAAGCTATATTTCTCTTATGATAAGTCTAGTGGGATGTGGATTTTGAAGACCAAGTACGGATACCACACTTGTACGCCTGGTGCGAAATGCAAGCTGCTGAAAGGTCCTGTGATTGCAAAGCTTTTCTTAGATAAACTGAGGGAGAAAACGAAATTGTGGCCTCTGAAAATTCAAGCTCTTATCAAAGAACATTGGGATTCAAAACTACGGTGAATCAATGTCAGAACGGAAAACTGCTTGCTTTGAAATGGCTTCAGAAGGAGTATGAAGCTCAGTTTGCTCATATTCGTGGTTATGTGGCAGAGATATTATGAAGCACAAGGGTTCAACTGCAATTGTTGATACATATCGAAATGCAGAAAAAAAAGGTGTTTTTGATCGGTTTTTTGTGTGCTTTGAGAAGCTCAGAACAAGATGGAAAAGTTCTTGTCGGCCAGTCATTGGCCTAGATGGAACCTTCTTCAAGATCGCCGTGAAAGGAACTTTGTTGACTGCTGTTGGTCACGACGCAAACAATCAGATCTATCCGATTGCTTGGGCTGTGGTACAATCTGAAAATGGAGATAACTGGTTATGGTTTGTTAAGAACCTTAAGGCTGATTTGGGACTTGAAGATGGCGATGGTTATGTCATGATTTCAGACAGATGCAAAGTAAGTATCAACTACTAGTCTAATCAACTAATATTGCTTGTCTTCTCTTATTTCTTAATATCCGGCTTATGTCTCTAACACTTGAAACATATTTTTTTTTCAGGGACTTCTTAGCGCTGTCAAAGCTGAGTTGCCAAAAGCTGAGCATAGGATGTGTGTCAAGCATATAGTCGAGAACTTGAAGAAGAACCATGCGAAGAAAGATTTGCTGAAGAACTTTATGGTTACGGTTCTTGATCTAGTTTTGGTTCGTAAACGGGTCTGATATTTTGGTGTTTTGGTTGTACTTCAGGCGAACACTTCATCGCAGGGTCATGAATCTCTTTCACTCACCCAACCATCTCAACTGTCGGAGTGAATCTCTTTCTTTGCTTATGCCTATGGATTATTACTCTTTCTTTTGGGAGTGAATCTCTTTATTTTCTTATGGCTTATTACTCTTTCTTGTGTAACATTGTTGTGGTACTTTTGTTTGACTTCTTTGGATAATTATGAATGCTATCTTTTGAGATTATGAATGATCTTTATTGGATTGTGCTTTGAGTATAAACCTGAGAAAAGCATGAATGCATTACACATTTGACCATTGCTCCAAACCATTACTTAAATAACATTCCGACATGAGTTCCATTCAACTTAAATAACCATGCCACAAAGCTTACAAGACTCCAAAACATTGTTTCTTCACAACATGGGTTCCATTCCAACACAAACCTAACTCATAATAACATTACCACAAAGCCATCCTATTGTCCCAACAACCAAAACCGTGATTCCAAGTTTCTGCATACACGTTTTTGCCATTTCTCGAGCCATCTCTCCAGCCATCTTCTTCTTAGTCTCAGTAGCTATCATACTTTCCTCCTTTAACTTCTCTTCCAGCTTCTCTTTCACCTTCTCTTCCACCTTCTCTTTCACCTCTTTTTCCATCTTGCGAGTTAAACTTGATTGAAGATCCAAAAGTTTCACCATTTCTTTTCTCAACTCTTTCACCTCTTCTTCAAGCTTTTCCTCTACCATTTTTGTCTCATCAAGCAAAGCCTCATCAATCCATTTGAAAAGATGTTCTTCAGTTTTTCTCTACACAAACACACAAATTACTCTAATTCTCCTCTCAAATACTTTTTAACATATCTATACATACAATCGATTAGATTATACCTGCAATGCGAGCTCACAGCGGTAGAATCTGCGAAATGGATTGTCCTTGGTTTGAGCAGCATATGTCACAAGGTTTCTCCCACACCAACATCTTGTTGGAACTCCACGCACTGACCTTCGGTTAGACAACCGAGATGAAGAAGAAGAAGAAGAGCTCATTGTCTCCTCTTCGAATTTCAAGGATTTGATTTCAATTTCTCGCAACAAAATAAGAACCCTAAGCCCCAAATCGATTTTGTGTTTCAAGAGAAGTGTGAAGTGAAAGTTAATTGTCGGGTTTGGTAATGATAGATCGGGTTTAAGCGTGAGACAAAGCGGGTTTTTTATCGGGCAATCACTGTCTCAGAAACGTGTTTTTGTAGGTTAAAACGCAGACTAGAGAATTTTATTTGATATGGGGGAATCGACAGGAAAATAAGTTGTTGGGGGGAATAGACAGAGGCGGAAAGTTTGGGTGGATTCCGATTTATTGTGACTAGTAGGGGGGGCTGGGACCGAAAACCCTAAAATAAATCAAGATTTTGAGGTTTTTGAAGGAAATGTAATTTTGCAAGATAATGTAATTTCAAGGTTTTAGCGGAAAATCGTGATTTTGAGGATTTTGCGAGAAAACATGATTTTGAGATTTTGACGAAAAGTGTGATTTTGATGTTTTGGCGAAAAAACATAATTTCACGATTTAAGCGGGAAAACATGATTTTACAGTTTTGGCGGGAAAACATGATTTTACGGTTTTAGCGGGAAAACGTGATTTTTAAGTTTTGACGGAAAACATGATTTTTTGAGGTTTTGACGGAAAAACGGAAAACATAATTTTTAAGTTTAGACGGAAAACATGATTTTTTGAAGTTTTAACGGGAAAACATGATTTTGAGGTTTTGGCGGAAAAACATGATTTTTAGAGGTTTTAACGGGAAAATATGATTTTGAGGTTTTGGCGGAAAAACGAAAAACGTAATTTTTAAGTTTTGACGGAAAACATGATTTTTTGAAATTTCAACGGGAAAACATGATGTTGAAGTTTTGGCAGGAAAATATGATTTTGAGGTTTTGGCGGGAAAACGGGATTATGTGGTTTTGACAAAAATATTATTTCACGGGAAAATATGATTTTGGGGTTTTGGCGAGAAAATATTATTTTAGGGTTTTGTCGAATTTTTATTTATTTTACGATGTTAGCAGAAAAAATAATTTTGTGATTTTGACCGAAAAGGATAATTTGTAATTTTGACACAAAAATATGATTGGTGTTGATTAAATAAAAACAAAAAAAAGGACAAAAATGTAACTAGGGTATCCTTGGATACCCTAAAACTTATAGGGTTTTTTCTGGACTATCTTATTGGTACTAGGGTATTTTTAGGACTTTCTGAATTAGGGTCTTTTCTATAAGGACTATTTGAGAGTCAAGGTAGGGTAGGGTAATTTTACCCTATGCTCTTAGGCATGAAAATTTTGAGTCTTCTTTATTGAGTCGTTGATCATTCAGAAATGTGATTAGCACAAAGTGTTAGTGTTTTCTTGTGCTTCTTTCTTTTTATGGCGTACCACAAAATTTCAGGTCTATATAATGAGTTGCAAATAACTAATCTCCTTTAATGATGTCACTTTGTTCAGTTTGTTGGGTTTAGTACAACTTCTAACATTCTAAATCATTCTATTGAGACAAAAGTTTGTTATGGATCTGTAGAATCATATTGTTGATGAGAAAGCAGTAATCTAAGCACCAGACTACCCAAAAATGTCTTTCAAAGTAAACTCTTAACACCACCACCTCTTTAATTATCATGAAAATATCACCAAAAGAAAACTCTAGATGTCGTAACAGTTTTAGAAATCCAATCCAATGGATCCAGATCTTGAAACTTTTACAAAATGCGTCTACGGATCCTCTATTTTCTCTCTTTTAATAAAAGTTGCTCTCTGTTTGTCGGGAACAAAAGCTTAGAATATACTCAATAGGAACAGGTTTATCTATCTTTTTGATGTAAAGTCTAAGAACTTTCGTAGTTCGAATTAAAATATAAACAGTCGTGAGTAATTATGCGCAAGAACATGCGTTTGGTTTTGGATCGTGCAAGTGCGACACTTGATCAAAAGTAAAATACTGTATAGTATATTGTAACAGACATCAAATAAATTACTAATATTTTGGCTACCATCCAAATTTCAATTTTCATCAAACCAAATTTTGTTATTACACATCCATAAAGCAGAAGAAAGACATCAAAAAGAAAGAAATTACTGTTAGACGTTATAAAGAAAAAGAAGAAATGACGTCGCCGTTGTTGTCACCGTCTTCATCTAACCGTAGAAAACGCCGTCTCACTCACTTCTCCTACACCGTACTAGCTTTCATCCTACTCTCCGCCTTCATCTACGGCCACGATCTCGTCTCTTTATCCCGCCGATCTCTTCACTCTCCCACGATTTTTCCCCAATCCGCAATCCTCGTTGTTGCGGACAAACCTCCATCTCCTCCACCACCATCTCCTCCGCCTCCGTCTCCTCCACCGCCATCTCCTCCACCGCCGGCTTTTGCGGTGGGAAAGACGCCGGAAGGATGCGATGTGTTCAAAGGGAATTGGGTCAAAGACAAGTCAACGCGTCCGTTGTACCGAGAATCCGAGTGTCCCTACATTCAGCCGCAGCTCACTTGCCGCACGCATGGCCGTCCCGATAGCGACTATGCTTCCTGGAGATGGAAGCCTGAGTCTTGCTCGCTTCCCTCGTTAGTCTCTCTCTCTCTCTCTCCCTTACTCTCTCATTCGATTTCATATTTCGACTGCAATTAGCCCAATCCGGTGATTGATCTTCAGATCGGATTCGCTCTATGGTTTTCGAGTGTGTTAGGTTTGATGCGAAGCTGATGCTGCAGAGCTTAAGAGGGAAGAAGATGATGTTCATCGGCGATTCCTTAAACAGAGGAATGTACGCTTCTCTGATCTGTCTTCTCAATTCACAAATCCCAGAAAATTCCAAATCCATGGATACATTTGGTTCCCTCACCGTCTTCTCCATCAAGGTTCTTGTCACACTCTCTGTGATCTTAAGCTTTTGGATCAGATTTAGAAACTCTTGTGGTATATTTTGTGTAGGATTACAATGCAACGATCGAGTTTTATTGGGCACCGTTTCTTCTTGAATCGAACTCAGATAACGCTACGGTTCACAGAGTAACAGATCGGATTGTGAGGAAACACTCGATCCAGAAACACGGTAGGCATTGGCGAGGCGCTGATGTAATCGTGTTCAACACTTACTTGTGGTGGAGGACTGGCTTCAAGATGAAGATCTTGTATGTCACTTACCACCAATGGCAAGACTTTAGTGTACAAAAGGTGTTTCTCTAATTTTGATTGTTTCTTGGATTTTTGTTAGGGAAGGTTCGTTCAAGGATGAGAAGAAGAGAATTGTTGAGATGGAAAGCGAAGATGCTTACCGAATGGCGCTCAAGACTATGGTTAAATGGGTGAAGAAGAATATGGATCCATTGAAGACGAGGGTGTTCTTCGCTACTATGTCCCCTACTCATTACAAGTCTGTAACTTCTTCTTAACATTTTGACCGTGAGCTTATT